GCCGTTGGTAGGTCTCGAACCCTCATACATGATACATACATACTCTTACCTGCGGGCCACCACGACAGTGGGTTTATTTAGACGATTGGGTATGACGTAAACATTGACGGAATTTGTAAAAGTATGTTTGACGAAGATTATTATAGAGGTACAATGTAGAGGTAGGTACCTAAGTACCAAACCATGGGACAATAATATTCCTACGAGATTTTTTATTTACTTAATTCAACTTAACCCGGAAAATTCAAAGTCAAAGTCAAAGCATTTATTTCAATTAAACCATAGTTTGGTACCTAATTTTGAAACGGACGCACTACGAAACACTGAAAATATCATCTTAGTCCCATCGAATGTTAAAAAACAACTTTAAAGTTGATATGTCTTAATGAAAATATCTACAATGATGTTTATGTATTTACACTTTATTGTAGGTACACCATGAAAAACATACAGAGAAAAATAAACATAGAGGTATGTAAAAAAAATGTGTAGGTACAATCAGCGGTCTTATCGCAGAATGCGATTTCTTACAGACAACCTATGTATACATATATGATATGTAGGTAATTATTGTGCCTAGATAATAGTTTTCTAATTAGATTGAACTAGTAAAATAAGTTGGATAATTTCACTTGTAACTTAGACGTAAAAACTTGCGAATCTGTAAAAAAATGCCTACCTATCTATGCACTTGCGCTTAGCTATTTTGTTTTATCTACACAAACAACATTTATGCAGAACCCTACTCGTTCCCTAAAGCTACGTACTCGCGAGTACTTGACCAACATACTTTACCCACGTATTTTTTTATGTCCCACTGCACGTCCGCTTGACTGCACGAAAGGAAATGGGGGCGCTATGTAAAATTTTACAACTGCTGTCGTTTTTTACGCTAACATACGTATTAGCATGTATTAAACTTTGTTCCTATGCTTAATAGGTACAAACACTATAAACTGAAAAGGTCAATATTTTATATTAAAACGATATTATGAACAGTTCGTAAATTCATTTCAACCAATGATTGTTGCCAACAACAATTTCCTTTGTAATGCCAAATTTATTACTATGGTAACATTAATTTATTTACCGGTGTAAACAAAACGATGTTCGCTATTTGAATTTTATGACGCACGCTGCAAGACACAATACTCATTCGGATAATATTTATTTTATTTGGCAAATAAATTTTGTAAACGAAAAATGCTCCATTCAGACGCAAAGGAATTTCAATATTGGCTCTTATTTGGCATTTTTCTGGTAAAATATGTGGTATATAATTAAAATACTTGCATTTAGATAGCATCCATTCAAAGTATTAAAAGGCCAGATGTACAATACTTATCCTTATTTACGTACTTATTTATGAATAAATAATATTGAATGGCTATTCAGAGGTCACACAGATGGCGGCTCTTACAGACAAAAGCTTCGTAATAATATTGCTGAAACTCGTTTGTTTGAGACGCAGTTCTTGTGCCAGCTTATTTATTCCTTTACAAAAAACATATCGATGTCCTTCAAAGTCTTATGCTGTGAAGATAAGGTTCGAATTACCGATTGACTTATGTTATGTGAACGCAAAATAAAGTTGGTGAGGGCTCTATTTGGCTGGTGTTTCGATACACGTGTTCCTTCGAGTTCCCCTCGGAGTGAAATGCACTATCACCTGGCTCTTTAGACGTAAGTAAATAAAATTGGGTCACACGTTACGCCATTAGTTTCTTTATTCCCTCCGAGGTACTCCAGCCCTCAGCCTTGGACCGGTTTGACGGAACAGGGCGATTCTGTTTCTTTGCTCCTTTCATACGTGTCCCCCTATTCAACACGTGCGCGCTTTGAGAATCGTCACATCGATTCACATGAATGACGGATTCCGATTCACTAAGCTCTTAGTTTTTTGAATATAATAACACTGAATTAGGGTGATAACAATGAAGGTTTTTTACTACAGATTAATTCTTCTGGCCACTGTTCGTCCATTTAAGAGGTCTTTTCCCAAGATTCGTGTGAGTAGCCGTGGCCTTTAGGTATGTTTATGGTAGGTACTCGAGACTTATGGTATTCATAAAACAATGTGTAGGTCGGTACATGGCTATTTATTATTTAGACCTTTTTTTGAGGGGGGGAATCATCGAATGACATCTCCCGCCTCAAAGAGCCATCAGACCGCCACAGATGGGGCCCAACAGGGCCGATGTCGATTCGAAGTCGCGGAGAACCTAACGGGTTACCGGGGCTCCGGCTCGACGTGCAGGAGAAAGAACGGGGTGGTTTTTAGTCAGTATCTAAGAGTCTGACACTCCCTCCCCGCCTCACCCAGGCGGGAGCAGTCATTCGAAGATTTTCCCCCCTTAAAAAAACCTACCTCTTCGGGGATAAAAGGCGTGATGTTATGTTATTTCCTAAGTAAACCAAATTAATCAGGGAAATTATAGCAACCCTGATGGAACTCAGTAAAACCTTATAATTAACCTACAATGACAGAATAGGCAAGTACGCTCGATTTCCATTTTGTACAGAACAAAGTTTAATTTAATGATTTGTTTTTTTTTTACCAAATCTCGGGGTGTCACTCGACCTTTATGTTTGTAAATCCACGTTGTAAGGAAAAGATCCCAGTGTACCCACAGACCCACACAAAGATTTTCCTTCTACCTACATTTTTTAAGAAAACATTACCCTCCTTCTTTGGCAGTCGGGTAAAAAAAAAAATCTTATGTAGGTAACTTGATTTATCTACTACTACAATTGCTATCTTCTTACAATGTTAATGGAACGTCGATTAATTAATGTTTAATTAGGTTCAAGTAGATAACAATGTGCATATCAGAGTAAATATGCTCTCAACATGTTTTATGTTAGCCTGGGATGAACTCTGGTGAGCTGTGATGTGATAAGGATAAGCTACTTATACCTATGCCTATACTTAAGACTATTTGTATGAGTGAAGTTTGTTTTGTCATATTGTAATTATTTTACGGGACTACGGGAGCAAATACAAAAGATATTTGGTTGAATAACCAAAGATTAGTGTCATTTTTTTAAATTAACCCCCTCAACGAACACAATACATGCACTGCTTAGGCTGCACTGTTCAGATTCGAGCGTACATCGCATCGCGTTCGCGCGCTGATGCCCGGATACGGAGCCGCGAAAGACTCGTCGGGTTGTCCGGGTTACCGAGGCTACCGGCTCGAAGCAAGACTAGGAACGGGGTGGTTTTTATTCAGTAAGAGTCTGATTCTCACTTTCGCCTCACTCAAGACAGTTGAAGACATAACGATTATCCCCTTTTAAAAAAAGATGTGCATCGTTTACGAAAATGGAGGATTGGTCTTCACAAAATTGGGATGATGACGGGGTATGAAAATTAAAAATCTAACTAGGTAGTCCGGAAAAAATATTAGACGCGTATTTTTTTATTTTATTGTATACTTAATAAAATGATACTTAGATAAAACGAATCCAAGTTTAGGAGTGGGGGCTAAAACGTCATTTCTACGTATAAAATGTATGTGCTTGTTTGTGTGCATAAAGCTTTTTAAATAAATAAAAATGTACATAAAAGTGACGACACGCGACATTTCAAATCAATATATCGTCGAAAGTATTCGTTTCCGTAAGAAAATAAATAATACGTGTCTAATGATTTAAAATAATCTACCAGATGGACATTACAATAAGAATTAGGCATCTACCCCATTGAACTTGCCAAATCCAAAATCTCTATCTAGATCAATCTTTGTTTTATAGATATTTCATATTACTTTCTATGTAGGTAAATAGAAGTACTCACGGATTTCGAATTTGAGCGATTATAAATTTCGCCCGTACCCTAAGTAAGTCCTGTCGCGGAGAACCCAACAGGTTACCAGGGCTCCGGCTCGACGTGCAGGAGAAGGAACGGGATGGTTTTTAGTCAGTAAGAGTCTGACACTCCCTCCCGCCTCAACCAGGCGGGAGCATTCATTCGATGATTTCCCCCCTTTAAAAAAAAAACCCTAAGTAAGTCCTACTTATGTTATGCAGGTATGTATCACAAAGTGACTTTTTTAATTGGTAGGTAGTAGGTAATATTGTTTTCTTAGTTTCGCGTACAACAAACGAGAACTCGTTCAGTCTTTGGTGTAAAATTGGTTTAAAAAAGTCAAGAAAATGTCAAAACCAAAACGAAAATATGTGAAGAAAATGTCAAAAAGTGAGAAGCAACACTTACTCGACCGGGAAAGGTACTGTACATTCATAGTGATATTGTATATTTACTTATTTATTAATAGTACAAGGACTTACTTACCACTTATAAAAACAATAAATGTAGGTAGGTAGGTGTCAATTTGCCAATTGCTAATCCACGTTTAGAATGTTACATTTTGATAAACTACGGTGTTCTGTGACCTGTGACTGTGAACGCTTGGCAATATTAATCTAATTTAACTACCTAAGCAGGTACTTATCAAATTGTAAAATGGTGGTCAATAGTGATGTTATAATTTACTTTGGTAGGCAGGTACCTACCTACTTGTTACTTATAATTCATTCATGGTAGTTTTTTCTTACTATCACTTTTATTCTGTGCTATCACTACCATCCACAGTCTACATAACAAACATGTATCGGTATTGTCAAAAAATGGTGAGTACGTATTTCTTTCACGAATCTCTGCTGGTAGAAAAAGTAAGACATGGATGCGTTCCAAAAGTCAACATTAACAAACAAGGGTGGGGCGGTGGCTACTGGCTATGGCTAGTGCAGTGTTGGCAACGCTCGCTCCTGATGGATGTGAGGATGAGACATCCGCAGCCGCCCTCCGCTCCCGCGCCCGCTACCGCGCGAAAGTGAAAATTCGCTCGGCACTTTCTCCCCACCGCCGGCGTGTCGGCCGCATCGGCCCGCCCCTCGCTGCACCGCCGCGCGCCCCTCCGCGCGCCGCAAGGTCAGCCCCGCGTGCAGGCGGGTGGCGCGGCGGCGCGGCGACGCGCTGCGCTCTTGAAATTTCGCTTTCGTTCACTCGCGGTTATTAGTCGGCCGCGCGCGCTCCGGCAAGCATGTGTCTCGCGTGACGCGCTCCACTACTTCCGCGCGGCACGTTCGATTTCGTTGGCAAGTCGATCGTGGAATGGCACCACGACGGCAAGGCGCCACCGGCGAGCGCGAGGCGGAGGAGGCTCGCGGGTGCTGCGTCCCTGGCGAGTGCCTTCGCCCTCGGGAACCCGTGCGTATCGAAGATGCCGTGCGCGTGCTTTGCAACAATGACACGTGCGCTGCCGGCCGGTACATGCACCGAGAGTGCTTCGAGCAATGGGAAGCAGGAGTTCTCGCTTATCTCAAATCATGTGGTCGAGCTCGCTCCTGGTCTGAACGCCAGAGACATCAGAACCTATGGACCAAGAAAGGCTACGATCTGGCGTTCAAGGCTTGCGGCTGCCGATGCGGCAGAGGGCATTTGAAGAAAGATCTAGACTGGGCACCTCCGGGCGCTGCGATACGAGCTGAGGAGGAGAAGAAGCGTCGCCGGCGCACGCGATCAGGCCGAACGCCAGCAGCTCCGGACGGCCGTACGCGCGCCTTTAGCCTATCCAGTTCTGGTTCATGCTCGCCGCCTTCAGCGCCTTCCGAGCCCTCAGCTAGTCCCACTCACGCTCCGACGCACGCCGTCATGCCTGCTAAGAAGATATCCAAAACTGAAATTGTTTCTGACAGGATCAGGTAAGAAACTTGTTTTCTTATAAGTCATTTTCTTATCAGATATCTCTAGGTAGATATTTCGCTTGCACACATACATACATTTTATGCGAGGATTACGAAATGTCAGCAGTTATGCACAAACAACTTGAGTAACCGTCGCCGGTATCCGATGCTGGCAAAAACTACACACGGGAGAAATATAAATAAGTTCCTACCTATTACACCTACGTGCAACGTAATGAATGCCCCGTTACAAATTATAAACACTTAAATATTAACCTACAGATTCTCGAGTGCATTGAATTTTGTTTGTGTAGGTTGGTACACCTACAGCGTGGTGTCTGAGCGTAGTGTGTGTGTTGACTGCATTTCTTGGCGGTTGTTTATATCGTATCGAATAGCAGCCACACATAATTGGCGTAGAACTGGTTGGAGCAGTGTTGGAGGCGGCTGAACGAGCCACGGAACCGGCCGACGCGGCCCTACACCCCGCTATTGAATTTAGATAAGATGCAAGTTGCACTCCGTATACCTACCTATGTTTGGCTAACCCTGTAGCGATAAAAGCTTTCTATGGTTAACTATTTTGTGTACACAACTTTATGAAAAAACAAACATATCCATTAAGAAGTAAAATTAATTTTTCCTTATTATTATTATTTAATTCATCCAAGAACAATAAATATACTTCTCAACAATTCTTCAACTTCTAAAAGCTTGACTTGTATAATTTACTGAACTCCGAATTGATAACAACCAACCCACCTGATAAAAAAGGTAGACACCCAAATTACGGTGCGAGTAACTTATCTCAAACTTCATTAGATATCGTCAGTCATTGATACAAAAGAAGGAGTTTATTTGTAAACAAACCATTAAAATGTGTTGTTATCTTAAAAAGCATAAAACACCCATTCACTTCCTGATCGCAATGATTGATATTAGTGTGCCATTGTTATTATACAACCTTGCAGTTTTTATGTGTGGGTAATGTACAAAAAATCCCTTGTAACATAACAATAGGTGGGGCCATAAAAACCTGTAACAGTTAATCCCATTTAAATTAAGGTCACAACATGTAAATAAACCTGTTTCAAATTAGAATGTAAGAAATAAAATCCCAATTGAGCTGATTGAGTGATGTGATGCCATCTAAACGTGTTGCAAAATTAATTACTTGACAAATATTTAGGAAGCTATTAAAGAAACGCGCAAGGGCAGGCGTTCAGACCACCAGACGACATGCAATTAACAAACAACAATTTCGTTGTAAGCTTTCAACTGACACAACAGTTTTTTGTTAATAATGTCGAGTTTTAATTCGCGCCCAAATTGGTGGAGCCTTAAAAATGCAATTTCGTCGGCTTAATACATTAACCGCGGTTCGCTGCACAGCTGGTTTCCGTTTCCTGGCAAAAGTGCGTTTTTCCCGAAATTGCGGCAGCTGTCCCTTGGCCAAATTGTTGTTCCTGTTGTCTCCGTCCAAAAGGGAAGCACCTGACGTTACCAGTCATTACACAACGTTTTTTTAAACCATGTAGAGGTATATTACATTTTGCAAACACCTTTTATTTATTTTTATACTTACCTTGTTTTGCTGCCTTTTTATTTTTATTAAAACAGTTTCGTCCATAAACGTATTTTAACACAATAAAAGAAAAGTAGGTACAGTTAATTTAAATAACAAAAATATTACTTGCTCGTTATATATTATATCGAGTACCTACACGTCCTAATATCTAATCGTTAAGACCATTAACCCGCCGTCACATAGCCATTATCCTTACTAGCCGTAAACATTAGTCTATTAATAGAAAACACATGAATGAATGAATGACCATTATCCTGTTTAGCGTTGACATTTTATTAGTTGAATAGTTTTTACTATATGCCCTTAAATTACTAACGAGAAATGAATTTGCGATATTTTTTTATCTGATTTGTCTTTTTTTTCGACGTTGACAGATTATGCACTGATATTGTAGACCGTATCTGCGTGTCATGGTGGTAATCTTATCATCTTGTATGTCGATATACATTTTATAATACTGATAATGCATTTTGGAAGGACATTTTTTACGTGAAGAACGGACGTTGGTTTTAGTAAAACACGGAAATAATTGAAATGGACGATGGAATATTTTACAAATCATATTGAATTAATAGTTATTATAAAAAAGGACATCTTTACCAACAGATGAAGTAATTTTGTTACAGAAAATGCAACATTGTTAGCATAAATTCTGTAAAAAACATAAAAGACTTGTACTGCGTGTTATAATTGATTCAATAATTAATCACGCCATCATTTTAACCGCGCGTCTTAATAATCTATGCGTGCGATTTGCATATTGAAGGTTTTATACGAATAATTAAAAAATTAAATCAAATAAGTAGTTCAATAAACATTTTGTTCCATCTAACTATTTTTTTTTTCTTTAATCTTTTGCAAACAAGGATTATTTTTATTATAACTAAGTATTTAACTTTAAATAGATATTTATTATTCTTGATTTTATACGCGCGACCACGAGTGACGATCTTATTCGAGTGTAGTGTAAGTGATCTTGGTCATTTTGTTTTATTAAACCGTGGGCGAACTCCGCTTTGTCCTCTTTTGATTCATACATTATTCTAACTTGATCTAATAGAGATAATTTTGATAGTATGTTGAATATTTTTTTTTAAATGAATCAACAGATTCTGCTATTTATATGCTTCGGTAAAACCTTTATCAACATTCTAAGCGTTTCTGTATATTAATTAAGCAATGCATCTGCTTTCTTTATGCAGAAGCATTTTTGTAAAAAAAGAACAAATATCTTAACGATATACTTCTAAAATATATTATAAAAAATATGTAAATTACACAAGCCGATAAAAGCGTCATAATAAATCTTACGTCATTAGGCGAGGCACAAACTACCAATAAGAGACGTTTCCAATCGATTCCAAACAAAACAAATGAAGCAGTTAGTATGCGCCGGCGCATCGTTTTGTTTTCAATTATGTTACTAACGCATAAATACGGTCTATTATGTCTGTGGTCTCTAGATCGGACATCAATTTTAAATGCTATCTTTAAGTTTTAATTTGACGCTTTTTACATGAGATATCATGTGAAAAGTATCACATAAATTCGGAGAACAATAAAAAAATTTACTAGAGTCGTATTGCTAACTATACAATAATGTCTTAATGTAATATCTAGGTATTTAAAAGTGCACTATTTTTACATTTACTGTACCTACATGACTTATGCAGTATTCCTGTTGACTGTAGCTATTTAAAACTGGAGGAAATTACCTCTTTAAAATAAAATCATTAGCATTCCGCGTCCGTTTGTACGTCGCATATTGTGTTGTGTACATATACCTGTACTTAACACATCTTGCGTGAATTTATTGAGTAAGAAGTACAGCTGTCGTTTGAATTGAACATTGTTTACTAAGACGTCTAGGAATCTTGATACTTTATTTACAATTGATACTTGAAACTCGAAGATTTATATTGAATGTTTTGAATAAAAATCCTGTTTGCGTTTGACGCTTACTGAGAATTCACAATTCTGTAGAAGTGAATGAAACTTTAGACATCAGGTGATGTTTAATAAAAATGGTAGATACACTCACCGGCACGGAATCTTGGCCAAGTGCGTATTTCGCGATAACAAGAGCTATAAGTGTTTCCTATGATTATTTATTATGAAGGTAGGTCTAAAAAATGTTTACCTTTAGTTCAAGAGTGTAATTTATCACGTTTGAGTGCAATATGACGTTATTGTTAAGTTTTAGTTGAACCCGGTCATCTGAGCGAAAAAGTTGCTGTTTTAAATTTGTGTTTTGTGAAAGTTTATTGTTAGGTTATTCAATTATTGTCACATCGTACTGTTTCTTCAATGACTAAAGGTGATTTGATTCCAATAAAAATGCCATTAACACCATCACAGGTTGCACAAGCTGTAGCATTGATCGAACAAGGGCTGACACAGCGAGAAGTTGCTGTTATTCTGAATGTACCACGTTCATCGATGCAGTATGCGCTGAAACGATACCAGGAGACAGGCCGCTACTCCCGCAGACCAGGCAGCGGAGGTGTCAGATGCACATCAGCCAGGGATGATCGCTTTATTGTCCTAGAAATTTTGAGAAACCGCTACCTCACCGCTGTTGAGATACGCCGGCGACTCCAGTTCACAAGAGGTGTCAATGTTAGTGAACGTACAGTGAGAAGACGAATAGAGGAAGTGAATTTAAAAGCTCGTAGACCAGCACGTGGCCCAGAACTTCTCAGAAGTCACCGAGTAGCTCGACTACGATTCGCACGAGAACACGTCAACTGGACCCAAGAGCAGTGGGCTCGAGTACTGTTCACAGATGAGTGTCGAATCGCTTTACGAGCTCCAGATGGTCGGGAGCGAGTATGGAGAAGAAGAGGAGAGCGGTTTTTACCCATTACCACCACACAAACTGTTAGTTTTCATGGAGGCTCTATAATGGTTTGGGGAGGAATAAGTTCCGATGCACGTACGGAGTTAGTTATCGTCGATAACCGATTAACGGCAACACGATACATCGAGGAGATTCTTCAGGAACATGTGTTGCCGTATTCGGGGTTTCTTGGGTTCGACGAATTCCTCCTAATGCACGATAACGCGCGCCCACACGTTGCACATTGCGTGGAGGAATACCTTACAGAGGTTGGTATTCAAAAATTGCAGTGGCCAGCTCGTAGTCCAGACTTAAATCCAATAGAGCATATCTGGGACATGCTTAAAAGAAAAATAAAGTCCTCCTCCAACCCGCCTGAAACTCTGAACCAGCTTCGAAATGCAGCACTGACCGCTTGGGAAAGCATACCACAAGTTGAGATCAGAAACATCATCCAAAGTATGCCAGAACGAATGCAAGCTGTTATCAGGGCTAGGGGAGGAAACACCCAATATTAAAATGCAAAAACAATGAAGACTTTATGTTTATTTTTCATTTTATGTTCTTTTTAAATTGACAGTGTTAAAATCA